TTATTATTATTATTATTATTATTATTATTATTATTATTATTATTATTACTATTGTTGTTGTTGTTGCTGTTATTGTTGTTGTTGGATGATGGTGATGGTGGTGGTGTATGTAGCGTAATACGGAGAAGGCATTGTACCGAGTAAATAAGTGTACAAGGGAAGGAATAGAATAAACGTAGGAGAGATTTTCATGAAGCTTGTGGAGTGGGGAGAGAGTACAACGGAAGGAATAGCGCGCGCTTTTCGTTCTCATTCTCGTCCTCGTCGTTTCGCAAAGTGGTTGGTACTTACTTCGTCGACTGCGAAGAATAAAAAAAAGAAATAAAGGAGAGAGAAAGAGACAGAGAGAAAGAGAGAGAGAGAGAGAGAGAGAGAGATCGTTCATTCGTTTCTTTTTAAAATCGATGCCAGAGAAGCGAAAAAAGTAAAAAACGAAGAGACGAGGAAGAAGAAGGGGAGAAAAAGAAAAAGAAGAAAACAAAAAAGAAAAGAAGGAGGCAAAGAATTTCAAGAAGACGGGGAGTCGAGGTGATTTTTTCGGAAGCGAAGAACCCCGGCAAAGCTCGGATTCGTTCGGTTAAAAAGTACGTGTGTTGTTGTTTGTGGTCCGTGTATGTGCCCTCTGTGATATTCGTGCGCGTGTGACAGAAGAAAAGAAAAACAAGAGAGAAAGAGAAAGAGAGTTAGTGGTATCGTGTGAAAGGAGAAAAAGAGATAAGAAGATATAAATCGTGATATATACTACGTATGTACGTCGTTCTCGTCGTAACCGGCACGACGTTCGGCGTGTAGTGATTTAGATGGTCGTTGCATCGTCGTTGTGTTAGTAGTGAAACGCAAAGTAGTGGTGTACGGCGGTCCGTGCGTCGAAGGAACGAAATACTGGATCGAGAGGAAAGAGCTGGAGGAGGGAGCGGTGGAGGGGGAGGAGGGGGAGGAGGAGGAGGAGGAGAAGAGGAGTGCGAGGAACGCCGGAGTTGCTCGCGACCGTCGAGATCTGGATTACGCGGGCAACTCGAGGATCGCCAAGATTTTGCCGGTTCATAAAAAAGGTATGAGAGTTCTCTCAAATGCAACTGCGCTTTTTTCTTTAAATCTTTTTCCTTTCTTTTTCTATTTCTCTCTCTCTCTCTCTCTCTCTCTCGCTCCCTCTCTTCTTCTTTTTTCCTCTCGCGCGTTTTAATCCGAGCGAAGAGATATGATCGTCCGATAGTCGTGAGTGAGTGCGTGCGTGCGTGCGTGCGTGCGTGCGTGAGCGAGCGCTTCCTGAAGTTAGGTTATGTTAAATTTGAACTTGTTCTTTTTCTTTTTATTTTCTTTTCTTTTTTTTTCTTTTCCCGTAAGATTTATTTCCAAGAGAATTTAAGAACGATCGTAGACGGTGTCCTAAAAGAGGAAACATAGGGGAGATTACCATTCAGTTTTATAGACAGTTATCGTCTTATTTTCGTTTGATACGTGACTTTTAGGAACACCCCGTACGTATATATATATATATATGCATGTATGTATATATTTCTGTTTGATTAATTTCCTCGTTATAAATTTTCTTTACGGTTCAACGAAAACATTCGATATAATTCGAGATAAGATTATTTATCGATCGAGAACCGATGAAAATATACACCGATGAAAATATACAAGGACTTTTGAATTTCGCGCGGTTTAGCGTATCGCGTTACTCGCCGGTATACCGCAACATATATAGTATGTCTACCTACCTACCCACCAACTTACCTGCTTAACCGATACGTAACATGGCGCAGACACACATTTAACATCGCGTAGAACGATAAACGTAAACCGCGTGTATCAACGGGAGCGGATCAAGAACACAAGAGGGATGGGGGAGGGGGGAAGGAATCCTGTTGGTTTTGGTACATTTACTGCGGTCGCATACCAGAGTGTCGCCGAAAGATTCTCGTTAACTCGGCTTCGATTTCAAGGTCGACGTCTCCTCTTTCTCTCTCTCTCTCTCTCTCTCTCTCTCGACAACGACGACGACGACGACGACGACGACGACGACGACGGCGACGGTTCTCCTTTAACCCCATTTGCGGTTCACTTTATTTATTATATGTTGTTCCTTTTACCCCCTCCTTACGATTATTGATTTACTCTATTACCAAGGGATATGTACACATGGAATTCTATTATGGCGGAGGCGGCCCATAAACGATGAAATTTTTATATCTCGTAGTTAAGGAGAGAGAGAGAGAGAGAAAGGAAAGAAAAAAAAATAATTTCGGAAAGATCGAAAAGTCGTAAAAGTCGTATTTATTAATAAATCGCCTTCGTCGTTTTAGTCGTCGGCCATGATTTTGACAGTTAGGCGGTCGGCTTAGGTTCAAACGAAGTCCGGCCTTGAAGAGTCTTCCTCTTTCGTCTCGATAAAATATAAGTTGTTAGGTACTTACGTATGCTCGTGTAAGCTCATAAAAATTCTCACACGGTTAAACGTTCTCCTCTCAGTCCTTGGTCAGATTGAACGCAAACACGACGTTCGATCGTAACCGAAGCCAACCGGTCCAACGTTTCTCCATCGTCGTCGCCGTTGTCGTCATCGTCGTCTCTATTGTTTTCTTCAATCGCAACGATCGATGATATCCCCGATTCTTCGCTAAACATACTTAGGTACATATCTATTATACATACATACATACATACATACACATATATATCCGTATATATATATTAGAGATATAAATCAGAGTAAATTGAAATTAATTTTCGATCGTTAAATATATAGCACACATACACACACACACACACACACACACACGTAGGTACACATGTGTTATATATTTAACGATCGAAAATTAATTCTTTTTTCTGTTTTCTTTTTCTCCTCCAAATCCAAAAAGAGATTATTCGGCGGAAATGCGATTTATCCGACTGATCGAATAAACAAACGAGACTCAACGAGCCCAATCGTATTAACAAATACGATTAATTCGGAGAAGGAACTACCTTGAATTCGATTTAATTATCTCGCGGTTTCACGGTGGTCGTCGTCGAAGAAGAAGAAAAAGAAGAAGAAGAAGAAGGAGAAGGACGAATAAGAGAAAGAGGGGGAAGCAGAAGGACGAGGGAGCGTTTTCTTAAAAGGAAAATTTAAGACCTGTTCGAGGCTCGATCCTTTCGTCCCCTTCGATTGAACCCCCATTGATGTTCGAGATTATGAAAAATCGCGCCGAAGAAAAGGGAAAGGGAAAAATAGTAGAGGGGGTAAATTGAATCGACGACAGAGAGAGAGAGAGATAGAGAGAGATTGAATAGGGGCTATCCTCGAGAAGATTAATTCTTCTTCGTGATTAAATCTCTATCGATCTTGGATAAAGGGAGATTGCTCGGTTCGTTGAAAGTACTTTTAATTCCTCCCGTCTCTATCGAGATATCGAATTAATATCTATCTGGCACGCGTACGAGAGAGATAGTGAGAGAGAGAGAGAGAGAGAGAGAGAGAGAGAGAGTCAAAACGCACACGAGAGTTTCGTTCGGTTTTAAATCGGTGCGGACGAATGGACTCATAAAGCGCCAATTTCGAATAGGAAGTATAATGCTCTTTTCTCGTTTCGATGTTGCGTTATATCGATTTCCTTTTTTTTTTTTCTTTTTTCTTCTTTTTCTTTTTTTCTATCCCTCTTTTTCGTTGCGCTGTTGCTCAGCATATCCGTAGTACATATCCGTATTCTGACGCAGATATGTATATATATATATATATATATATACGTATGTAGAAATTTGTAGGGTAGAAGTCACATTGTGAAAATAGAAATAAATAAAAAGAAAAATGAAAAGGAAAATAAAAAAGGGAAAAAGTGATAGAGGCAGACGTGCCATCGTCGAATTCATGTCGAATGAAATACAAAGGCGCGATTTCACGAAAAAAGCTTATTGGGGAACGAACGAACGAACGAACGAACGAACGAACGAACGAAGTCTGCAAAATGAGAAAATAAAGGAAGCCATTGACGATGGAAAAAATTACGAGTTTAAATTTACGATCGAGTCCGTTCTAGAGTTTCAGTAAGAGTTTGTCCATACTTTATCGAGAGATTTTTCGAAGTTTCTCCCTCTTCCACTCTTTGCCTCCTTTTCCTTCCCCTTCTTTGAAATCTCCTTCAGCCATCCGGATAAGGAGGTATCTTCGCGAGATACAACCACCGGCAGTAGAGCAAGTAGTATAGCCACTGCAATTAGCTCTCGTGGAAAACAAGAAAGGAACGCGGGCACGAAGCGAGATACGTCGTCTCTGCAACTTTTTGCCAAAGATTCTTTCTCTCTCTCTCTCTCTCTCTTTCTCTCTCTCTCTGTCTCTCTCTCTTCTTTTAGATGGTATACGCAAGTAAGCAAGCGAATGAACGAAGGAACGAACGCGAGACCACGAGCAGCAGGACGGATGAAAACCCCCGTTGCTTTGCCGTTTAGCCTCGAGTGTCTCGCTTCGTCTAACCTTGAAATCCCACTCGTCGCCTCTCGCGTGTTTTTAAAACGCTCGAACTTCGTCTCGCGCATGCGCGCGAAATCCTTTTCCCTCTTCCTCCTCCTCCTCCTCCTCCTCTTCCTCATCCTTCTATCCTCGCATCCCCCTCCCTCTCGCCTACCCTCTTCCTCTTCTTCTTCCTCTTCTTCTTCTTCTTCTTCTTCTGTACCACTCTTACTTATCTCTCTCTCTCTCTCTCTCTCTCTTTCTCTCTTTCTTTTTCTTCGTGTTCGTATAGATGAGTGCCATTTCTCTCTTTCTATCTTTCTCAGGTGCGTACATAGTTCTGTACAAAGTCGAAACTTCTTTAGCTGTACACGTGCACGAGAGAGAGAGAGAGAGAGGGGGGGGTGAGAGGGAGGAAGAAGGAGAGAAAAGAGCTATCTCGGTAGATTAATCGCAGCCATTTTCGCCAAGTATAAATTAAACCTTTTCTCCTTCTCTCTCCCTCTCTCTGACTGTCTGTCTGTCTGTCTGTCTGTCTGTCTGTCTATTTGTCCGTCTCTGTCTCTGTCTTTCATGATTCTTATCCCTCTCGATTTTAATTAAACTTTTATCACGACTCGTTCGGTATATAATTTTTATTATCTTTCTAAGCGCGGGAACGTAAAGTATAATACCGTTGATGAATCTTGTATGTAACAAATTTCGTTTTCTTACACAAATGGAAATAGTGATAACGTTTCCACAAGAGAGAGAGAGAGAGAGACGATAATCCGCCGAGAAACGAGTGACGTGGACATGTGACGTGTGAGACGAGTCCTGAGGACTTACATATAATACTAGAGAATCTCGCGCATCATTTTATCCCTTTTCCCTTCTTTTCCCCGAATCACCATCTTTCTCTCTCTCTCTCTCTCTCTCTCTTTCTCACCTCCCACTTTACCTTTACGTTCTCTTAGTTCAAACTAAAACGAAGAAGAAATACGTTCTTTCTATACGGTTCCGTAGATCTCTTACAGTTAGTCTAAGGAAAAATCGTATCCCGTAACGGGCGATTCCGTGAGATCGTTTGAAAATTTTCTACGTTTTGCAGCTATTACGGCATCTCCATCTATTTATGTAAGTACGTCCTACCGCCATCACCTTGTATAGCCATCTAATGGGATCTAAATCTTCCACCATGAAATATGATCCACTCTGATCATCCTTCTCCACCTTCTCTTCCTACTCCTATTCTCTCTCTCTCTCTATCTATCTATATATCTATCTATCTATCTATCTATTTATCTATCTATCCATCTTATAAGTTACACATCAAACAAAAATTTTTTCGTCGCGTTCAGTAGTTATGATCATCGCTGTCCTAGATTCTAACTTTTTAACGCATGTTTTTTTTTCTTTTCGTTTTTTCTTTTTTTTTTTTTTTTTTTTTTTTTTTTCTCTTTAATCGCAATCGTACCACGAAACTTTCTCAAACGACTCGTAACGAATGCAAATTCGATCTCCCCTCTGTCCTCTTCTTTCCTTTTCTTTCTTTTTCGAAATCTACCGCCAGACTATCATGCACCGATTTTTCTATTGCCCCACCTGCGAAATCGGATACATCCGAACGATTTTCGAGGCGGAATAAAAAAAAAAAAAAAAAAAAAAAAAAAAAAAAAAAAAAAAAAAAGAGAAAAAGAAAAACGATATCGTTTAACGGTGCTTCGTGGGTACTCGAATGCGAAAGCATCAAAATTGCAGAGAGATATCCACTTGGAGATCAACGAAGCAAAAAGAGAGAGAGAGAGAGAGAGAGAGAGAGAAAGAATCCGATCGGTAGTTTACAACGAGAATATTCACGAGTACTCGAATCATGGTCGTGTTACGCGATCGGTTTAATTTTTCAAATGTGGACTCCGATCCTATTCATTAAGGATAAATTTGAACATTTCCTCTATTTTATTATTTCTCTCTCTCTCGCTGGCTACGATTGAAAATACTTTGTATTGATGTCCGATGATGAAATAGAGAGGAGATAAAAGAAGCAGATAACAGAAAAAGAGAAAAAGAAGATGAAGATGAAAAAGAAGAGAGAAGATAACGCAATCGTTAGTAGACGGAAAGATAGAGGTTGTTAGAATCGTAGGACCGCAACGCATCTCATTTGTTGATGTTTTTTCTATTCTTCTCTTTTTTCTTCTTTCTTTCTTTCCTCCTTTTCTTCCCCCTTCTTCTTCATTGTCATCGTCTTATCATCCTTTTTCTTTCTCTTCCTCTTCTTCTCTTTTGCATTATTCGCAACCTACTTTTACTTTTAAGACGAGACGCGTAACGTAATCGTAAGAGCTAACAGCAGCAAGAGCAACAGCAACAGCAGCAGCAACAGCAACAGCAACAGCAACAACAACAACAGTCAATAGCAGAGCAAGCTGTAAGCGGCAAGGCGGTTGCGGCTGCGGCTACGGCTGCGGCAACCCCTCTCTTAGAAAGTACACGCCATTTGCGTTCACCCACACGCGATATCGCGTGCCAAGTTTGCGATGCGATTCCCAACGTAATTATCTCTTAACGCAAGAGAGAGTAAACCGTTGTTAAAATCCATGCCGTAATTCGAACTATTAAAAAATATCTTAGTGCGTGGTTATTACCTTCTTCACGCGATAAGACAAAGACGAGAAAGAAGAGGTGTGGATATGGGGGGAGGAGGAGGAGTGAGTTCGCGTATCGTGAGACATAGATAAGGGAAAATAAAATTCTTTGCGTACGCGATGAACGTACTCGTTAGAAAATTAAGATTGAAAGTAAAGGGACAGCTGAGGTAGGGATAGGAAAGAGGAATGGGGGAGGGGAGAGGGTGAGAGAGGGGTAAACGTACTACCGATGTAAACGCGTCGACTTGGCACATTCCTCGAAGAAACCTCGTAAATAATGGGTCATTGCGTGTCAGACTTTAAGAAAAGAAGCTTAGAATCGTTGCCTAAGCAACGTTCGTTTGTTCGGTCGGTCGGTCGGTCGGTCGGTCGGTCGGTCGGTCGGTCGGTCGGCCGGTCGGCCATCGACGATTAGGAAAGTTGAAAATTTTCTTCTCTTAATGATCGTCGAGGATCCTTTAATGCGTATACATGGACGTAACCGTTAGAAAAGTTACATGATTTTAGACGGAAGAATCTCTATTTGATGGTTCTCTCTTCCTCTCTCTCTCTCTCTCTCTCTCTCTCTCTCTCTCATTTAGCCTGCATCCATATATACCTGGCGGGTCTGCATCCATCGTTGCCCCTGTCCCTCCCTTCCCCTTACTCTCTAACCCCTCCACACCTCAAAGTCCCTCGTTTACGTCGCCGAGGAATGTCTGGAATCTCTATGGGAATAAAAAAAGTATTTGGAGGAACCTTCTGTAAGGTGCAACACCGTGCCCCGAAACCGTACTTATCCAACATTAGTTTGTACATTGTTCGACTCCACTTTTCTTTTTTTTTTTTTCAAGCCTTCCAAAGATACGCTCACCTTACGATCCTCGACGAATTTCTTCCCCCGATTCTCTACCCCGGATAAAATTATCATCCCCGCAGAAGAAAATATTTCCTTGCAAGTTAGTTCTCTCACTCTCTGTTGGCTCACGCGAAATCGTAAAAAAAAAAAAAAGAAAAAAAAAGAAGGTCATACAAAGTATCCGCGTTCGAATGATATCGATCAATCGATATATTGTATTATTTTTTTATGATCAAATTATATAGCTATCTTCGTCGTTATTCTATACGTTTTCGTTCTGTCGATCATTAGTTATCATTGATAATTAATCTCTCTTGAATAAACGAGCAATCTACGGGGTACTTCGTTTGGATATTCGAAAGAATAATCCTATGGATATTACAGGAAAAGAGAAATGTATGTACGTAGATATGTATTTCCATTATGGTTTCACGTTACGAGATTCCTTTAATTATTTAATTATTAATTGAATTAAATATTAACCGAACGCCGAAGGTCGATTGATTTATACGGAACATTGCGCTGGCGCGTAATCCACATTGACAGAATTTGTTGCCAACGATAAATGTACGAAATTTTCGAAGGATCATACTATATCGTTGAATCGTATAACGTTAAAATTTCTACGTTTGTATCTAATCTCGTCGATTGGGATTAAGTTTAATGTCTGTCTCGACGTGAAAAAAAAAAGAAAAAAAAAAAAAATAAATAAAAAGAGAAAAGAAATTTATAAGGATGTAGTAAAAAGGGACGACGGTAACATCGGGTCCGTTTCAAATTGAACCTAAGACGATTTCAAAGTGACGACACAATGATTGATTATACTCGTGAAAGCACTCTTCCCTTATTATCAATCTTTTACTTTCTTTTTAATGCTTTCTCGAGAAAATTACTCCTTAAACTTCAGCCATGGGGGAATTTTCGCAGAGATAAACTTTCGCCAGGGTCCGAGGTTTTCTCGAAAGTAACTCAGGTCGAAACTATATATATATATATATATATATATATATATATATATATATATATATTTATATATATACACACACACAAATGTCGTTTCGGTATACCTATCGTCTATACCCTCATTTCTTCGAAGTGATTGGGGCTCGCTCGGTTCAAATATCATATCGGAGAACCTAACTGAAAACTGAACCAACTGGTATTACCATAACCAAAAGTTGTGAATGTGTTTGTGTGTGCTCCTGTTCGAATGTATAACGCATTTAAGGGATTACAAAGTTTAGAACGTTTGGAATTGTACAAAAAAAAAAAAATAAAAAAATGGATGGGAGAAAGAGATAGGAAAAAAAGACAAAAAAAATATTCTTTCTAACATCGATCACGGTCGTTAGATACGTCGTTCGTTCTCGTCTCGACGCGAGTAATTAACAACCGTTCGCGTTCGTCAATCGTAAAACGAATGTCCACCCGATCACCCCGATCGCGCCAATCTTATCTCCCTTAGAAAATGCTTTGTAGCACGAACTCGACAAAGCGGAATGGCCGGTCTGAAGTTGTCGATTTTCCGAATCGAGAAGAAACGTCGATTACGCTAGAGAGAGAGAGATATTTTATATATATGTGTGTGTGTATGTATGTATGTATGTATGTATGTATGTATGTATGTAATGTATGTATGTATATACACCGGTGATTCCGGTTAGCGAGCACACGGTACTCGCGCCTTCGATTATCCATTTTTTTTTCTTTCTGTTTTTCTTTTTTTTCCCTCCTCTTTCCTCTCTTTATCTCTTTCTTTATTTTCTTGATTTTCTTCGTCGGTCGAGCGTGTCGATCGGCCTGGATATTCACGCGAGAGAATTTCTAACGTCGAAGAGAAATACGAGATCGAGGAAGGAGGATGCGACGATGACCGGTTGTGTTCCCGTGAAACACATATTTTTCTTCCGTTGAAAGAGTAGATCTTCTTTTTTTTTTTTCTTTTTTTTTTTTTTTATAATTTTTTTCTTTCTGTTTCTTACATTTTTTCTATCGCTTTGTTCTTCTTCTTTTCTTATTTTTTTTCTTCTTTCTCTTCTTTCAGGAGGACGAACGGACAGAGATGGCATGAGGGAGGGCTCCGGCAACGTTGCCGAGGTGGTGAGTATAACTCGTTTATATATCATTCTCGATATATTATATCTATTTTATATGTATATTAAGTCTGAACTGCCCTCAACCCCTCCACACCCACCCTTCGCCACGCCTCGTCTTAGTCGTATTTTGATACGATCGTTAAGGGATATGTATGATAGTAGATACGTACGATAGTAGAATACTTTGTAGTAAACACTTACTTACTTACTTACTTACTTACTTACTTACTTACTTACTTACTTACATACTTATATTGCTCGTAATAAGAGATGCCGTCGATTACGAGTGATTTTAAGTAGCAAAGGAAACCAGGGCAACCTTGTAAAATTACTAACTATTACCGGCGAGTGCTTCCTCCCCTCCCCTCCCTCTAGAATCGAGAGTATGTAAACAGTAAGGTAAAATTCTATCAGTTTTTTTCATTTTTTTCTCTTTTATTTATTTATTTTTTTTTCTTTTTTTTTTTTTTTTTTTATACGATTCCAATAAGATTTTTCTATACCGATATGCTGACAAATCGAAAAAGGATTTTTGATGACCTCTACGAAATAATTTTTGCCAATGTGCGTGAAAATTACGTATTATATTATCGCGCGTAGAAAAAAAGAAAAAAAAAAAAAAAAAAAAAAAAAGAAAAAAGAGAGAGAAAGAAAAAGATGGTGAAATACGATGAAATTAATATAAATTGCTTTTTAAAATATAACTCACTTTAAAATATAAATTAAAATAAACGTCATAGAACGTATAAAGACCTTGTTGGCACGTTTAGAATTGCATTAGAGTAACGATTTATATATTAATGTACGGCGTTAATTGGATTCGCTATGAAATGAATTATTTTTTATTCGATACGATCAAACAAAAAAAAAAAAAAAGAAAAAAAAAAGAAATTTATCATTTATTTCACAGTAATTAACGGAAATTTATTTTATGAATATAAAAATGGACACGAGGGACTTCGTCAAGTGCTTCGATATTGAAATTAAAAAAAAAAAAAAAAAAAAAAAAAAAAAAAAAAAAAAAAATTCATAAAGTGGATTTAATCGATTTGATTTGCGGACGGCTCATATGTATGCATGTGCCTTTATATATATATGTATATATATATATATATAATATTCGATTGAACGAAAAGAATTTCGATCTTCTTCGCGAAATTCTATTTTATTCGTTTAAGGAAAAATCCCTTTTAACCCACGTTAACGTCAAATGTTATCTCGTTTCCCAACTCCTTTATCTTTTACAAGTCACGACTATATAACGTTTTCGTTATTTCGTTCGAGATATACGCAAGCAAAGTATTTTCGAAAGCCTCGAGGCCGTCGACACGACACGATAAAGTAGGCTACCGGGTTAATACATCGCGAAGGAGCTAAGGAAGGAAATGCCGCGTGTGCCTGGAGTGAAAGAGAGAAAGAGAGAGATTAAATCGAAGAGAAATTTAAGATCGGCGTGGCTCACCCAACTCGAAGAACGGTAATATAGTTTCTTCCCTACGTTTATTCATCAGTCTCTCGGCAAATATCAAATGTATTATCACCAATGTTAAAATATTCAAATGACTCATTGGGATTTAATAATGAAGTAAGAGTGAATACGTTATTATCGTTTTTATTTATTCCTTTTTATCAATTATTTTTATTTTAATTCGTATTATTAAAATACGTATGTACGTCACGAAACAGTGAACGTTTATAGAACATTCGTGAAAGTTAAATCGAAGAATGTACCTGTAATAATTGTAATAATTGTCTAACAACGATTTGAATTTTCTAATTACGTTAGTATTATAATATAATAATAATAATAATAATAGTAATAATTGTCGTGATAATTGGTCCGTGGTAGCAATGACGATAGTCCGCCTGGTTACTTTCTCGTGTAGATTATAAATTATCGGTTTAATTCAAAATGCATGAATTTTACTCTCTCGCGTTGGGGGGAGGGAATGGAGCAGAGACTCGAGATAGCGAATAGGTAAGTAAGTACTTCGAGGAACGAAAAGTTTTCATTAATGTTATTAAGAGACGAGTTACGCTCGAGTTATTTCGAAAGCTCACAATTAGCACTAACGTTGAAATTTTGTTTAAAGAACTATAAGCACAACTTTACCGTTGACTTGGTTATTCAATTAAAAATATTCAGGATCTAATTCAACGGATATAGCGAATCGGGCTTGGTTATTAGTTTAGTTCATTAAAAAAAAAAAAAAGGAAATAAAAAATAAAGGAGAAGAAAATTAAAAAAATCGCGAGCGCTTGAGAACAAAGCCGACGAAAGAGATCGACTAAGGGTCAAAGATCGAATAGTGAAAATATGTTTTTGAAGGAAAATCAAGCTTGCGTTTCTCGTTCGAGCGCGATTTTTTTTTTGTTAAGAGAAACGCTCGAGGGAAATGATTTCTCATTTTTTTTTTTTTTCTTGTTTTTTCGACGACGACAGCTATTCCCTTTTTCCTAGCACACGTGTTATCTTATTCGTTAACACGCGCCCTCTGTTTCATTCTCCTCGGTAATTCGATCTTCGACCTTCGTACCCACGATTGGTAAAAAAAAAAAAAAAGGAGAAAGAAGAAAAAAATGCAAAACAAAAAAAAAGAAAATGTCTGCCCACATTTCAGATCCTGACGAGACCACACCGATACGACGAGAATTTATACGAGCTCGGGTCGATTATTAATTCCCCGACATAATGTGATATAAACTCGCGCAAGAAATATCGATATTTAATTCGATTAATTGGAAAAAAGAATGAAATTCCACGATTTCGAAGGAATTATAGACGAGATCGTAACAATTATTTCGGGTCAAAGTTTCAAGCGTTATCGAATAATAGCGGCAGGTTCGTAGATGGGAGTGTGAGAGGGAGATGGCAGGTTAAAAGGGGGGCGGTGCATAGCATATGTGGGAACCAACGATGGTGGTTGGATCTCTCGATACCTCATTACGCTTCTGGACTAATTAACGAGGCAATATATCGATGGCTTCTATTGATCGATCGATCGATCGATCGTTCACGATCAGTACGAACGTTTCGCGCTCACGAGCGAATAATTACGATTATCTTCAAGTGAAAATCCTTTCGATTTTTCTCCTATCAAATAAAAAATATGCCGATGAAATTGGCATCCATAGGACGAGAGAAAAGAAGAAACTCGTCTTCGTCGTTGTTATCTTTGTCATTGTCATTGTCGTCGTCGTTGTCGATCTTTCGTCTCGCAGTCTTTTCGATTCTCTTCACGAATCGTTTTTGCTATCTCAGACAAGATCGTTAGGCTAGCTCGCGGATAGAACAAAGACTTTACGGCTTCTTATGTTTATGGCTGGGCAGCCGGTGGTAACTATCGCGTTCCTGCTCTTTCTTTCTCTCTCTCTCTTTCTCTCTCTCTCTCTCTCTCTCTCATAGATGCTGCACGGTCATCGTCAACCGCATACGTTGCCCGGACATTTTCTTTCGACGGAAGTCAGGCCGGCACATTCTACGAGTTGTTTCTTCGCGACACGTGTGCAACACCCGCAAAAGCGTCATATCTAAAATTCCTTATTATCTATTCTGTTTATTACTATTCATTAACGTTAATTGGTATAATTGTGTGGATTTATGTAGATATATACACATTACATATTTATACATATATATTTATATATACGTACGCCATGTTTATCATTATTATATAAATGTATGTAATACATAAGAGATACCATTGAGAATTAACCAATGAACTATTTTACAATTTCGAAATAATCTATTTCACGATTATCATTCGCTTTCATTTTCTTTTCGGTCGAAGAATTGAAATAAATCGATAGAAGGATTGATATGTGATATTTGAATGAAAGATAAAGAAGTAGAAGAAAGGAAGGATGCATTCGACCGTAAGAAATTTCTAACGGAATCTACGCCAATGCATAGTGCGTATCTACTAACGGTAGTAGGTACTACGTACGAGATTTACGATACTTGTCCGTTTTTCTCTGTTTGTTAGAGTTTTATAACATCGTGTTCTCCTTTTCTCAACAAAGTCGATCAACGAGTCGGTATATATCATCGATAAACTGAACACCACCGTCGTCGCTTTTCAAACCTTCATTTTTTTCTTTCTTTCTTCTTTTTTTTTTTTTTTTTTTTTCAGATAAGCAAATACGATTTTAACGATACGCCAACGGCGTTTTTTTCGCTTTCGTTCTCGTCGTTTCTCGAAAAGAGAACCCTCTCTACATGCTCGAATGAGGGTTCGAACGTCGCTTCAGGAAGTGCGCTCGATTTCGATCGATTCTGAGCAAAAATGCGTGAACATTTTTTTTTTCTTTTTCTTTTTTCTTTCTTTCTCGTTTTCCCTTTTTTCTCTTTCACGACGAAGAAGCCCTTTTGTACGGTGTCGTCGCAACGATAAAATATGTACTCGTACTCGATTCAGAATTTTGTCGTATTAATTATTTTCCCCCCCCCCCTCTCTCTCTCTCTCTCTCTCTCTCTCTTTCTCTCTTTTTTCAATCTTTTGCTTTAAACAAATGCATACGTATAAAATGTCCGATTTAATATTATCGATAATAGGCAAAGTTGGGTCAAGTATCGATAGGGAATATAATTTTCAAATTGGGTCGAATCTGTTTGCACGGTACTTACTCTATGATAAAAAATATTGCTTTCAACGTTCGATCGTAATCCCGCGGAAGTGATCCAATTATTGGACCATAGGTTTAATTAACGCGATATAGGGACTCCTCTCGATCGTTTAATTATACGATATTATTGGTGTATGTGTGCGTGCGTGGGTGCATGCCATCCTCCGTCTATGTATACCTCAATGTAGTGTAATTTTGAAAATATCCTATAACAACTTGTCTATTATTTTTAAACCAAACGATTCGTTTTTCTGAACGTTTATTTAATAGGATAACAAATGAAAGGATAATTAAAAGGATAAAAAAAAAGGAAAGAGAAACGGGAGAACTTGACAAGCGTTTTTCTTAATTGGTCGTTTAAATTTTTTGAATTGCCCA